CCCAAACAAAAAAAAACAACCCCAAAAACCAAAAACAAAACAAAAACCCACACACTTTAAGGCGTTCAGGTTTACGCATTGGCGTGGAGAACTGAGGCACTATGTCAGTCTGTTCAATTTACTTGTTGATTTGTTCCTAACAAACCGCAAAGTGAAGACGTTGAGATGCTTGGATAGGTGAACAGAGATGTGCAAACATTTTCCATCTCACGTCACAACTCAATTATTGTCCAGAAACTGACATATTATTCTCTTGTGTGTCCCTTGTACCCATCAACTGTTTCTCATGTCTTGATTTTTCAGACTCTGACCCGAGTAGGAAAAAATGTCGTAACAGACGTGGCCTGTACGTGTCCCTTCTTGAAGATGCGATACAGAATGTTGTCCCCGTCCGGGTCGGCCTCTGCCCTCTCCTCGCCCAGAAATGACGTATCTTCCGCCGGCAGCCCGCGGGTCCCCTCCGCCAAGTGGCAGGCATACGGACAGAGCCTCCTGGAACGCGGCGCCGTGTCAGCTTTCGCCGTGTACTCACGCAGGAACGGGCGCGTGTGGACTGAAACCCCGGACCTCCACGTCACGCCCGAGGAGGTGAGCTCGATCGTCAACGGGTTCACGGACGATCTACAGCTGCGCGTGCAGGGCATTCACTTCTGGGGTCAGGAGTTCGTGTTGACCCGTATGTCGTGGAACCACGTGATGATGGTGGGCCGGTCCTCAGCCAGTGGGCGTGGCTGTGTGGTGTATCTTTGTCGCACCTGTGTCGTCATAGCAACGCACGAGGAGGGCCCGCAGACCAGTCTCTGCTACAGCGCGGTGGAAAAGTTGGGAGACTTCCTGGTAGACAAAGGGTTTTGAACAGGGGCGACTCGTTAACCCGGTAAAACTGCCGAAGCCGGTCATTTTTTATCGGCTGGACAGTGGACAGGAGATTTGATGCTGATGAGGATTTTCAGTCAGTTCCAAAGAACCCAAACTAATGTTTATCAACATTCAAAATGCGCTTTGCCGATTAAAAAGTGTCCAAAAAAAAGGACGATAGGGGTTCACTGATGTGTTGTCACACTACAGAGATTCTTTACTTCATCTGTTTTTATCAACACTGGCTCTCAACTTTGTTGTCAGTGTGGCGGTTTTTTTTATTTTAATTATTTATTTATTTATTTATTTGGGGGGGGGGGGGTTGTTGATGTGAGTGACAGCCGGTCAGTTCTACCAACCACAATCCGCCCCTGGTTTTGAGGCGCTGGCAGAAATATCCAATCAACTTACGGAGATAGTGTACTGTATACTCCAGCCCAGGGCTGTCAGACTCAATAATTAATGTTTGAGAGGCATAACCCAAAATACATGTAAGATTGTGGGCCGAGCTGGATAACCAGTCTTTGAGCAGTGGAAAACTAAACTTGTTTCAGCAATTGATATGAATGAAAACAGACATTATCATCCCGTGCCAGATCTGCGACAGACATCGGCAATCATGGTTCTCTGTTCATTCCTTTGCTCGGATACTCTTTAAAAAAAATTGTATTATAACAAATCAGATTCCTATTTTCTCTCTTATGCCTCTTTGTTGTCAGAGCTACTTGTTTGACATATTATTTTCTTGACAACAATTTTGTTTATGTTTGGAGTAAGGTTCTGTGTTATTACTGGACAAGTTCGTTTATGAGTAAGGTTCTGTGTTATGGCTGACAAGTTTGTATATGTTTCGTGTAAGGTTCTCTGTTATAGAGATTCTCAGGATGGAATACCTACCATTCTCTCGCGGGCCAGATGTCACTGTTGACCGTGCTAGATGTCACCGTTGTCCGGGCTGAATGTCACCGTTAACCGGACCAGATGTAACTGTTGAACCGGGGCCCGATGTCGCTGTTGACCGGGCCGAATGTCACCCGAGGGTCTTGATTGTGACGTCTGTGGTCTAGCCTGTTGTCTCGGCTCTCAGTGGACAGTGAATGGACGACTCCTGTCTGTGGGGTTGGAGACTCCGACACTTTCAGCGATTCTCTCATGTATATATGCATATGGTTTAACATAATGTAACCCCCCCCAACTTTCCTCCACCCCCTTCCACCAT